AGTCTTCTTTTTTATTTTTTTCTGCTTTTTCTCCCAAAATCCCCCCAGTAGACAGTTGTATATTTTAATTATGGGTCCTTCTAGTTGTGGCATGTGGGACGCCACCTCAGCGTGGCCTGATGAGCGGTGCCACGTCTGTGCCCAGGATTCGAACCAGTGAAACCCTGGGCTGCCGAAGCAGAGTGCACAAACTTAACCACTCGGCCATGGAGACGGCCCCAGGTTTGATTATCAGTACTTCTAAGTGCAACAGAACTCTGGTCAGTCGAGTAGGAAAAGATCAGACTCAAGCTCTGAAAAGTATTTGGCAAGACATAAATAACCATTATTCCATTCAAGAAGCAATTGCTGCTCTATACAAAAAAATGTGATGATGTGGTGCAATGGGTTATAACTGTGGAAAATCATTTTGATGGAGTGGACACCAAAGCTGCAGAGGCTGAGGTCAACACTGAAGGGTAGGGGACAGTTGAAAATCATCATCGAAATCTTGAACTGTGTGGTTAAAGGCAAGGAAAGGAAATGTTTCCTTTATTAAAGACTGTCATAGTAAAGGAAAAATTTTTTTCAGCCAAAAAGGATAGGTAATATCTCAATGCTTTGGTTAAAAATGGATTCTATTCACTTAGCACATAGCCACTGTATCTTATGATGAGCATCCTCAATAATCTGACCCCACATTTGTATACTACTTTCTTGGGGCAGGGGGAAATCCCCTTTCTTCCCTTCTTGTGTTCTTATGGCTGAACTAATAGTAAAATTGACATAAGACCAGATTCACAGGAGAAAAACTCATTTAATATCTATGTATTGAAGATCATAAAGAAATGATGGTCAGAGGAGAGTGACCAGAGTAGGCAGTGTGTATATCTTTTACACAACGAAATGGTAAATTTGTGAAGAATTGACAGGACAAAGAAACTTAGATTCGGGGTTTGCAATTAGTGAGAAATTTAGGCAGAGTTTAGGCTTGGGGAAGTAAATTAGCAAGGCTTGTTTCTGCAGGCTTCTTGGCCCTGAGTCCCCCACCTCTGGGGATAAGGATGCAGGGAGAGCATCTTTCCCAGGGGAGATGTATCTCCTGGTTTCAGGGGGAACAGAGACAGGAGGGTCAGCATGCTCCTTTTGCTTCTTAAGTAACTTTAATTAGAAATAATCAATATACTGTTGTGGGATATTTTGGAGTGGTCTGCCGTGGGCCCCACAACTTCATACTTTTTAAAGTACGTTGGCCTCTGTTACCTCATCTTGTGAATCTAAAAGAATTGCTACATGTTGGACAATCATATACTTTGTCAGTAGCAATATTGAGATTAAGGGGTCTCAATTGTGTCAGCAGGGAAAAAATGAGTATTATCGTAAGACCCACTGGCTTCTTAAGTTTCTCAGCAGTGGGCTTTCTGTTAAAGATAAACTTGGGTAGAAAGGTGATATATTGATATTGACTAAGACACAAAGAATTCTGTAGTGGGTTTAGTGAAGTAAATAATCTCCCCTAGAAATAAGAAATGTAGGCAATGTATTACAGTTTTTGAAATATAATAGGCAAATTTCAAGGTCATTCTGTGAAGACTAGTTGGCTCATTCTTTCATTCATTCAGATATATATTGAGGGTCCCATCCACGACTTCGCCACTAGCCGTTGAGCAAAATTGCACCCACACTTACCCCTCCTCCCTCTCCCTGGTTTCTCCTTCTTTCTTGGTGCCCGCTGCTGCTCAGCAACACTCCTCCCCTTACTGAGCCCCCTGCACTTCCAGTTCTTACCTCACCCCTCCTTACCCTTCTTTTTAATTCTCCCCATCTGTTTCGTCAAGAAGAAGACAATACCTCATGTGTCCCCCTTCCTTCTTTCCAGTCCAAAGTTTTCCTGTCCCAGTTCTGTCTTTTAATGAGAAAAAAATGTTCCATGCAGCTTTGCCCTAAGTTTGTCACCACACAAAATTGGGGTTCTTTTGCCCATGTGCATGAACAAACCAATTAATTACAGCATCAGCCTTTGGGAAAGAAATCAGCTTTATTCTCTGAGATCAGTGTGCAGGGAGACAGGGGGTGTGTGCCCTCAGATCTGTCTCCCCAGTTCAGGATTTGGGGCAAAATTGAAGAGGTTAGGGAGAACAGGCTGGCATGCGGGAATGCTGGTGGTGATGAGGATTATTTTAAGCTGGTTACTTTAAAAAACTGCAGACAGGAAGGAGGCTCTGAGGAGTAGAATTTACTTACCCTTTGTTAAGAGACATTTACATTGTAAAGGAAATCTCCATCTGTAAAGGTGTCTCCCTCTCTGTACCAGGAAGAAGGGGGGATGACCTTATCTCTAGAAACTCTTAATCAGTGCCAAAGGCAAGGACTTAAATCTGCATCTTGTTTACTGTACTTGTGTGGTAATCTCCCATGATCGACTCCCCCCTCCACCCCCAACATCCTCCTTTGTCTTTAGCTAAAGATAATATTTAAGGTGGTGGCTTCAGCCATTTACTTAATCTGGTTTCACTCTTATCTAAAAATTATAGGACTACTCAATAACCAGACCCCACCTGCACTGATACCATTTTAATAACTTTTTTTACATATTCTTTCCTTTGTGTTGTAAAGAGATAACTCACATACCTATGCCTTAAGTGTAGCCCTACCCTCCACCCATGTTTGTAGCAGCTTTTACTGCCCATGGGTCCTGTCCCCATACCTGCAGCTCTGACTGCCCATGGGTCTTGTCTCCATGCTATTCCATACTATTCTCTAAATAAAAGAACACTACTGCCAAGACCTTGAGAGTCCAAGAAATCTTTCTTTCGACTCCTTGGCTCGCCGACCCCGCATCAGTGGGACAGGTTTTGATTGGTGGGCTTCACGCATTTATGGAAAGGATCTAAACATTTATGATGACTTTCTTAACATTTATGGTAAGGTTTTAAACGTTTTTGGTAAGGTGGAGAAGGAATTTTAACACCGGCTCTTCTGGAATTACAGACCCCTTGCTTCTGAAAGGAGTCTGACTTTTAAGTTCAGGTCGTGTCCCAGTCCTTTGGTTCTATGGGGAGGACAATCTTTGGTTCTGTGGTCATTTCAGGTCAAAATTTCTTCTTCTGCACATTCTCTGGATATGTGTCTTTGCAATTTTCTGAAAGACAATTCTTAATCACTCTGTTGATAAGATGGGGTCAATTGAACTGGTGCTGGAGGGTCTACAGTTAAAAATTCTCTGTCTGCTAATTCTGAAAACAAAACAAAATTAACCAGAAAGATTGAGACGTATATGTTTTTCTTCTGTCTGGCCAATGTGTCTTTTTCCCAGGTGAATCCGGAGCAGAGTACGTGTACTCCTAGGCACATAACTGCAAAAACTGAGCGATGTATAGGAAAGAGTAACAACGATTTCAAACATGATGACCTTGTTTCTTTTTTCTCTTTTTATCTATAAGCTATTCAGTGTATAATCAAAAGTACTGAGAAAATATCTTGCAGAATGTACGTTTGCTTTTAATCCTGTGGCAGTTGGCTTTGTTTCTTGCCCGTTGTCTAGTATGCCATAAACCTCTCAGGAGTTCGTGAACTTTCTGTTTCCTCTTGAACGTACCACGTGCTCTCAGGCATTTGGTAGACGCTCAGTACATTCTCTTTTAATTTTTGTTGAATAAAAGAAAGGCACTAATTTTTTTTTACTAACAGCTTTATTGAGGCATAATTTACCTACCTCAGAACTCACTCTTTTTAAGGTTATAATGCAGTCGTTTTTAGTAAATTTACAGAGCTGTGGGACCATCACCAGAATCCAATTCTGGAACATTTCCATCACCCCAAAAAGATGACTGTGCACTTTTGCAGTCACTCCTCATTCTCATCCTCAGTGCCAGCCACAGCCCACCATGACTCCACTTTCTGTCTCTATGGATTTGCCTATTCTGGAAATTTCATATAAATAGAATCATATAATATGTGCTCTTGTGGCTGTCTTCCTTCACTTAGCATGTTTTTAGGTTCAGGAAAAGACTAGTTCCTTATTTGTTTCCCCTGTACTAGAATTCAACAAAATAAATTGGAAATGTATAGCAAGCATTTAAAATTGGGTAGTCTCTTTTTTTCAACAAAATTGTGGCAAATCCAATGCTGAGTAGAATCTGTGAGTTGAAGTGTTTGGGACACCGTGACAGGGAGACACACTGATGGAAGAAAAGCGAGGCTGCAGTTGACTATGTTTCTCCAACTTCTGTTGTGACCCCCATTGCAGTGTCCTTAGGAGTCAGAGTAGAAATAGTACCTTTATCGAGCTCTTACTGTAAAGTAAATACTATACTAAGTCCTTATTTGGATTGTCTCATTAATCCTCACAGAGCTCCAAGAGGTTGTTATCCACTTTTTACAGGGAAGGAGACTAAGACTGGTTTTAATTGAGAAGTTAAAAACCACTTGCCCGAGATCGCGTGGTTAGTGACCATCAAATGCTAGGGTTTGAGACGAGTTCTTTCACATTCCAGAGCCTGTTTTCTTAGCCCTTATGCTGCAGTGTCTCTTACTGACGCGAAACTGAAAAACAAAAACTTAGCCCTGGAAACCAGAAAAGCACAGCAGCGGCAGCCCTCAGGGCAGGGTGGGGAGCGCTGGCCCCCAGTTGTCCCTGTGCACTCACTATTCCTGCAGCAGGAGAGAATGCACTTCACAGTGGTCTGTCATCATGCTGTGTTCGGGGTTCCCTACCCAGTGAGTCAGTGAATGCAGTGTTTTAAGAATGAGTTCCATCGAGAAAGGTCTGCTTCCTTGAAGGTAAAATTTAATTATCTGGGAAATCTGTTTATTTAGGTCATTGCCAAATAAAGGAGATATATGTTAACAAACCAGTTTGTGCTTTGTTCACAAGACAGTGAATTTTAAAATGTGCCAGGTTAAGCTCCTTTATTTTGGTGATACAAGATACAAGAATGGGTTATAAAGTTATTCCCAAAGAAACTGATGTTCACATACTTTTGTGTATGTTCCCTGTTCGATGGGGTCTATTCCTGTAGCTAAGAAGAAACTTCCTGACTTGCCTGTCTTCTTGGAAAGCTCCTCCTCGCATCCCCAGATCTTCCCAGTCAGAAGCTCTACTCAATATAGCAAATAATGGGCTCCCCTACGCCCCCCTGCAAACATTCACAGAGGAGGAGATGATGCTAAAGAGGACAGGTGAGTAAACGCCTCAATTTCACCTCATTATTATTCTGGTCAGGAGTTGGGTCTACAGTATGAAATTACATGATATATGACATGGTTGGGGGATATGTTCATCCAAGTTTGTAATGAGATTTTTTTTACATTAATTAAAAAGTTTTTTTGAAAATAAAGACTGACCAGTATTTTTTTTCCTACAGTTGAAAGATTTGCCCAGGAACAAATTGCTCCTTTGGTTTTAACAATGGATGAAAATTCAAAAGTGGAAAAATCAGTAATACAAGGATTATTTCAACATGGGGTATATCATTCATAATTCTTCCAATTTCAAATTTTTATAAATACGTTCCAGAGTTAAAATGTATGCATACTTTTAAATTTAGGAACTGTAATGATAGCTTAATGAACTCTTCATTTCCTAGTTAAAATTATCTGTGTTCTCTTGTACACTGAGATCCTAGTTAAAGATTTTTTTGTGTGTGTGGAAGATTAGCCCTGAGCTAACACTGCTGCCAATCCTCCTCTTTTTGCTGAGGAAGACTGGCCCGGAGCTAACATCCATGCCCATCTTCCTCCACTTTATATGTGGGACACCTGCCACAGCATGGTTTGACAAGCAGTACATAGGTTCCTACCTACCAGCGAACCCTGGGCCACCGAAGCAGAACGTGCAAACTTAACCACTGCACCACTGGGCTTGCCCCCCAGTTAGAGATTTTTTTTTAACTGAATTAACATTTCAAGTTAGAAATACTGTGCTTTTTAAGTAAAAGGTTAGAAACAAGAAAGAGTGATTTCTTTAGACCAGTGGTGCTTGACTGGAGGCAATTTTGTCACCCAAGAGACATTTTTGGTTGTCACAACTGAGGATGCTACTGGCACCTAGTGGGATAGAGGCTGGGGATGCTGTTAAACCTCCTACAATGCACAGGACAACTCGCCATGACACAGAATTGTCCAGCTCAATGATGCTGAGGTTAAGAAGCCCTACCTTAGTTAGTAAAACGTCATAGTAGAGCACGTCTTCCTCCTCAGTCCCCGTGTATGTGGTCAGCTTAGACGCAGAGGCAATATCGGAATTCCGCGTTAATCGGGGCAGCTGATTTCCAGCTTTTTAAGTCACACATCCCTGTAATGGAAGCACAGAATATAAAACAGATAAGAGTAGAACTGTTCTGGCTGTGGGTGGAGGGAGAGGCTGTCAGCATAGGGGCTCCAAGGAGAACATTTCAAAGTCACTGCGCTTACCCTTCATCTCTCCCTTCTCCATAGGTGTGAAGTATACTTATTTTTTATTTTGAATACGAGGATATCCGAGAAGTAATATCTTCTATTCAGAGCCATTGTTACATCTTGACTGTTGTCCTGTTTGTAAAACAGACTTTTCCACCTAACTAGTTTTATTTCTACCTATTTTAAAGAGACCACGTTTTTTATACCATGTATGGTAGTGATTTTTCCAACTTTCTATTAGCAGTGAAAGCTTGGGAAAATGGAATCTTATGTGGAGCTACAGTGAGTCGAACAGCATCTATGAGTCCATTTCTCAGCCAGGTTTCATCCTCATTTTTTGCAGAAGCTCTAGGCTTCTCTGAGGAGTCTTAAGGTTCCCCAGTTAGGGCATTACTCACCCGAGGGGGTAGTTCTTGCAGATGGGGTTGTCGCAGCAATTGGTTGTCTGCCTTCCGCCCCCCACCTTGCCCTTGCTTAGGTGTAGCATGCCCTGGAGGGTCTGCTTGGTTGCCCATCCTGCACCAGCTGTTTTCAGTCTCACCTCACTCCTAACTCCTGCTGTCACCTTCTGTGTCCTTCTGTGGTCACCTGCCATAATAGCTGACAAAAACAGTGTTTGCAACGTAGGAGAAACTGGTGACTTTTGTAGAGAAGCCATGTTTCTGACAGCTGTTAAGATATCATTAGATAGGATCCTGCCCCCCTCAGTCTTAAGGCACAGCCAGATCCTTCAGTTCTTCCTCACAGAACATCGTTGCCAGTTCTCTCGTCATTTTAAACCTACACCTTTGCAGTTCCACCTTCATATCAGCAGTTTCCTGTCATCTTAAAACATAACAGCTGCACCCAGACTATAGCTTGGTGTGATTCCAGAAGTGTCTGGAGAGAATAGAAAGAAGTGTCATCTTTTTATCTCTTAACCACTTTGGGTCTTGAATCACATGTACATACATTCTCTTTCTGAAATGAGGACACCTAAAAATGGAGGACTGTGTGAGTTTCCTGTCCCAGACTTAGGCATAGTTACAGAATGGTCAGATAGTTACTGGAAGGCGTGGGCCAGCATTTTTGCTTATTTACCAGGCATCTGGGCCTTGTCTAGTGTGGTTCTAGGAAACATGACCAAATGTCATCTGCTCATCATCTGGACTAGTTGAAATGGCCCAAGAGGAATGGTCATTTAATTAATGTCTTGGCTAAAAGGGTTCAGGTGGAGGAGCCTGGCTGGAAGAGATTATGCCAAATGAAACCATAGACATTCCCACCGAGGAGTAGGTTACTTTCTTTAGTTTCCTTATTACATTGAAATCAGTATAAAGGGGGCCATGTTGAGAAACCAAACCAAAACACCACCTGTGGTTTTTAAGCAGGCAACAACAGTTCTTAGCAATAAAGGTCATCAGAAATAGATTTATATTATGTAAGGTATTTTCTCATTATTCCATTCTGTTATCCTTCAAAGCATTTTACCTCTCTTATTTTTGTTTTTTAGATCTCAAACAGAAACAAATGCTAGTTCTGGCATGTAATTTCACCCTTTTCAAATATATGTACTTTGTTACAGATTTTTTTGTTACTTATAACAGAGAAATAGCCATACTAAATTAAAATATACATACAAAATTTTAAAATTAAGAACTTACATGCTTACAATTTATTTTTGAACTTGGTCTTGCAAGAAACTTTCCCATATAAAAATAGCTTTCTTAATTTGTGTTTCCTTTAGTTGATGGGAATTGAAATTGACACCATCTATGGAGGAACAGGAGCTTCGTTTTTCTCCTCTGTCCTAGCGATAGAGGAATTAGCCAAAGTTGATGCATCTGTGGCTTTGTTTTGTGACCTCCAGAACACACTAATTAACACACTGATCATGAAACATGGAACAGAAGAACAAAAGGCTACCTATTTGACCAAGCTAGCTACAGAAGAAGTGAGTTGAGATGAGTTGCTGAAATGGATCTGATCTTTTCTAAAGTTAGGATATTTTCAGGAGAAAAGTAGCTGCAATGTTGCCTTTACTATCCAAGACCACAATGCAGCACCATTAATTAATGAAGCATTGCTCAATAAATTAATGCTACTAGAAAAATACACTCTGCCTCTCATTTGCCACTTGGAAATTTAGAGAATAATCATCAGATAAAATTATTTTTTTGTCCCAATTATGTTTTCGAATACCTTTGTTGGTGGTTTCATTTAAATTGAGACGTCTTTCTGCTACTATCTTTAGCACCAATTTAATTAAACATAACGTCGAATATGTGTGCTTAAGTCTTTAAATCTGTCTTAGGCAAATAATAGAGTATATTTTGGAAAACAGTACTTTCAGAATACCATTAACTATTTTGATAAGTACAGGCATTTAAAAGTAGCTAAACATTGGCTTTACAAATGCTTATTTTGCCTTAAGTGAGTATTTGTTATAGAGTATAAATACAGTTGTTAATTTGAAATTTTTTCCTTCCATGTGTAGATAGGAAGTTTCTGCCTTTCAGAGGCTGGAGCAGGAAGCGATTCATTTAGTCTGAAGACCAGAGCTGATAAAAAGGGAGATTATTTTGTCATCAACGGGTCAAAGATGTGGATCAGCCATGCTGAGTACGCAGGGCTCTTCCTGGTGATGGCAAACGTCGACCCTACCAGGGTGAGTTTGAAAACAAAATTTCTACCCTTTTCCCCCCTCATCTTTTTTCTTTATATCTTTTCCTACTTCCATTTACTTTTTATGACTTAGTCTTAAATTCTTCATTCTCATCAGTACTGAAAATGTTGCACAACTGATAGCTTTTTATCCTCCTATTTACTAATCATCTAAAATAAATATTGATGTAATTATTAAGTACATAGAGGATATAATCTCGTAATATGTTATATAGGAAGATAATCTTTAATTTTGTTTCTTTGTCTTTATTTTAGTAATTGATTATATATATACATATGTAAAATCCTTTATAAAAGAATATTTTACTACTTTTTTCTATTTTCACATTTCATGAAATCATTTAAATTAAACTTTTCTCATGGAGCATTCTTATCAATGTCTTATCTTAGAAGGGCCAATTTTTTAAAATTTGAATTCATAATAGTTTACATCATTGTGAAATTTCAGTTGTACAATATTTCTTGTCTGTCACCACATAGGTGCTCCCCTCCACCCCCTGTGCTGACCCCCCACCCCCCTTCCCCTGGTAACCACTGAACTGTTTTCTTTGTCCATGTGTTTGTTTATATTCCACATATGAGTGAAGTCGTCTGGTGTTTGTTTTTCTCAGTCTGGCTTATTTTGCTAAGCATAATTCCCTCCAGGTCTTTCTATGTTGTTGAAAATGGGATGAATTTATGTTTTTTTCTGGCTGAGTAGTTTTCCATTGTATATATAGATACCCTATCTTCTTTATCCAATCATTAGTCTATGGGCACTTGGATTGTTTCCATGTCTTGGTTATTGTGAATAGTGCTGCAATGAACATAGGGGTGCATATGTTACTTTGGATTGTTGATTTCAGGTTGTTTGGATAGATACCCTGTAGTGGGATAGCTGGGTCACATGGTAGTTCTATTTTTAGTTTTTTGGGGAATCTCCATACTGTTTTCCATAGTGGCTGCACCAGTTTGCATTCCCACCAGCAGTGTACCAGGGTTCTCTTCTCTCCACACCCTCTCCAACATTTGTTATTTTTAGTCTTAGTGATTCTAGACATTTTAATAGGCGTAAGATGATATCTTAGTGTAGTTTTGATTTGCATTTCCCTGATGATTAGTGATGTTGAACATCTTTTCATGTGTTTATTGGCCATCTGTATATCTTCTTTGGGGAAATGTCTGTTCATATCCTCTGCCCATTTTTGATTGGGCTGTTTTGTTGTTGTTGTTCAGTTGTGTGAATTCCTTATATATTATGGAGATTAACCCCTTATCGGATATATGATTAGAAAAAATTTTCTCCCAGTTGGTGGGTCGTCTTTTGGTTTTGATACTAGTTTCCTTTGCCTTGCAGAAGCTCATTAGTCTGATGAAGTCCCACTTGTTTATTTTTTCTTTTGTTTCCCTTGTCTGAGAAGTCATGGTATTTGAAAAGATCCTTTTAAGTTCATGTCAAAGAGTGTACTACCTATATTATCTTCCAGGAATTTTATGGTTTCAGGACTTATCTTTAAGTCTTTGATCCATTTTGAGTTTATTTTTGTGCGTGGCACGAGATAATGGTCTACATTCATTCTTTTGTATGCGGCTATTCAGTTTTCCCAGCACCATTTTTGAAGAGACTGTCTTTTCTCCGTCATATGTTCTTGGCACCTTTGTCCAAGATTAGCTGTCCGTAAATGTGAGGTTTTATTTCTGGGCTTTCAGTTCTGTTCCATTGATCTGTGTGCCTGTTTTTGTACCAGTACCATGCCGTTTTGATCACTATGGCTTTGTAGTACATTTTGAAGTCAGGGATTGTGATGCCTCCAGCTTTGTTCTTTTTTCTCAGGATTGCTTTAGCAGTTCGGAGTCTTTGGTTGCCCCACATGAATTTTCAGATTCTTTGCTCTAGTTCTGTGAAGAATGTCATTGGGATCCTGATTGGGATTGCATTGAATCTGTAGATTTCTTGGGTAGTATGGACAGTTTAACTATGTTTATTCTTCCAAGCCATGTGCATGGAATCTCTTTCCATCTCTTTATGTCATTGTCTATTTCTGTCAATATGTCTCACAGTTTTCATTGTATAAGTCCTTCACCTCCTTGGTTAAATTTATTCCAAGGTACTTTATTCTTTTAGTTGCGATTGTAAATGGAATTGTATTCTTGAATTCTCTTTCTGTAAGTTGGTTATCAGAGTATAGAAATGCAACTGATTTTTGTAAGTTGATTTTGTACCCTGCAACTTTACTGTAGTTGTTAATTATTTCTATTAGTTTTCTGATGGTTTCTTTAGGATTTTCTATATATAAGATCATGTCTTCTGCAAACAGTGAGAGTTTCACTTCTTCCCTCCCTATTTGGATTCCTTTTATTCCTTTCTCTTGCCTAATTGCTCTGGCCAAAACCTCCAGTACTATGTTGAATGAGTGGTGATAGTCGGCATCCTTGTCTTGTTCCGGTTCTCAGAGGGATGGTGTTCAGTTTTTCCCCATTGAGTATGATGTTGGCTGTGGGTGTGTCATATATGGCCTTTATTATGTTGAGGTACGTTCCTTCTTTCCCCATTTTGTTAAGAGTTTTTATCATAAATTGCTGTTGGATCTTGTCAAATGCTTTCTTTGCAGCTACTGAGATGATCATGTGGTTTTTATTCCTCATTTTGTTAATGTGGTGTATCACATTGATCGATTTGTGGATGTTGAATCATCCCTGTGTCCCTGGGATGTATCCCACTTGATCACGACGTATGATCTTTTTGATGGATTGCTGTATTTGGGTTGTCAATATTTTGTTGAAGATTTTTGCACCTATGTTCATCAGCGATATTGGCCTGTAGTTTTCCTTTTCTGTCTTGTCCTTGTCAGGCTTTGGTATCAGAGTGATGTTGGCCTCCTAGGATGTGTTAGGAAGCATTCCATCTTCCCTAATTTTTTGGAATAGCTTGAGAAGGATAGGTATTAAATCCTCTCTGAAAGTTTGGTAGAATTCCCCAGGGAAGCCATCTGATCCTGGGGTTTTATTCTTTGGGATGCTTTTGATTACTGTTTCAATCTCTTGCCTTGTGATTGGTCTATTCATATTGCCTGCTTCTTCTTGATTCAGCTTTGGGAAGTTGTACGAGTCTAAGAATTTATCCATTTCCTATAGGTTGTCCATTTTGTTGGCATATAGTTTTTCATAGTATTCTCTTATAATCCATTGTATTTCTCTGGTATCCATTGTTATTTCTCCTCTTTCATTTCTAGTTTTATTTATCTGAGCTTTCTGTTTTTTTCTTTGTAAGTCTGGCTAGGGGTTTGTCAGTTTTCTTTATCTTCTCAAAGAACCAGGTCTTTGTTTCATTGATCCTTTCTACTGCCTTTTTTGTTTCAATAGCATTAATTTCTCCTCTGATTTTTATTATTTCTCTCCTTCTACTGACTTTGGGCTTTGTTTGTTCTTCTTCTTCTAATTCAGTTAGGTGTAGTTTGAGATTGGTTGTTTGGATTTTTTCTTGTTTGTTAAGGTGAGCCTGTATTGTGATGAATTTCCCTCTTAATATGGCTTTTGCTGCATCCTATATGAATTGGTATGGTATGTTTTCATTTTCATTTCTCTCCAGATATTTTTTGATTTCTCCTTTAATTTCTTCAATGATCCATTGCTCGTTCAATAGCATGTGGTTTAGTCTCCACATCTTTGTCCTTTTCTCAGCTCTTCTTGTAATTAATTTCTAGCTTTATAGTATTGTGATTAGAAAAGATGCTTGCTGTTATTTCAGTCTTCTTAAATGTATTGAGGCTTGCTGTGTTTCCCAACATATGGTCTGTTCTTCAGAATGTTCCGTGTGCACTTGAGAAGAATGTGTATTCTGCTGTATTTGGATAGAGCCTTCTATATATGTCTATTAAGTCCATCTGGCCTAGATTTTCATTTAATTCCACTGTTTCCTTATTGATTTTCTGTCTGGATGATCTATTCATTGATGTGAATGGAGTGTTGAGGTCCCCTACTATTATTGTATTATTATGAATGTCTTCTTTAAAACTTGTTAATAGTTGCTTTATGTACTTTGCTGCTCCTCTGTTGGGTGCACAGGTATTTATAAGTGTTATTTCTTCTTTATGGAATGTCTCTTTGATCATTATAAACTGCCTCTCTTTGTCTCTCTTTACCTGTCTTATCTTGAAGTCTACTTTGTCTGATATAAGTATTGTGACACCTGCTTTCTTTTGTTTGCCATTAGCTTGGAGTATCATCTTCCATCCCTTCAGTCTGAGCCTGTGTTTGTCATTGGAGCTGAGATGTGTTTCCTGGAGACAACATATTGTTGGGTCTTGTTCTTTACTCCCTCTTGCCACTCTGTGTCTTTTTATTGGAGAATTCATTCCATTTATGTTTAGGGTGATTATCAATATATGAGGACTTAATGCTGCCATTTTATCACTCGTTTTCCTGCAATTCCTTTGTTTCTCGTCCTGTGTATTTTGGTCTACCAATCGAGTTATGTAGTTCTTTATGTTGTGTTTCTTTGTTTTCTTCTTATTTATTAATTGTTTCTCTGTTCTACTTTTTCGGTTAGGGGTTACCCTGAGGTTTGAATTCAAGATCTTGTGGACAAGAGAATCCCTTTTCTTATGGCCTCTAATTTCCTTAGACTAAACCAATTCAGTCCCTTTCCTCTTACCCTCTTAAGTTGTTTTTCTCACATCTTATTCCATCTTGTGTTATGAGTTTGTGGTTAGAATGACAAGATCATCTTTGTTGGTGTTTTCTTTCCCTTTGTCTGTAATGCTGTACTTGAGTATTTGGTATCCTGCTCTGAATTCTGTCTACCTATTTAATTCCTTACTCCGTGCTTTGTAACCCCTTTCTCCCCCACTTATTTTTCAAGTAGGAGGGGCTTCTTGAGGATTTCTTGTAGGGGGGTGTCTCATGGCTACGAACTCCCTTAGTTTATGTTTGTCTGGGAAAGCTTTTATTTCTCCATCATATCTAAAGGATATTTTTGCTGGATAGAGTTTTCTTGGCTGAAAGTTTTTGTCTTTCAATGATTTGAATATGTCATTCCAGTCTCTCCTAGCCTGTAAGGTTTCTGCAGAGAAATCTGCTGAAAGCCTGATGGGGGATTCTTTGTAGGTTATTTTCTTCTGCCTTGCTGCCCTTAGTATTCTTTCTTTGTCATTCACTTTTGCCTGTTTCACTACTGTATGCCTTGTAGTAGGTCTTTTTACATTGACATATTTGGGATATCTGGCAGCCTCTTCCACATGGGTTTCCTTCCCTAGGTTTGGGAAGTTCTCTGCTATTATCTCTTTGAAGACACTTTCTGCTCCATTCTCCTTCTCTTCACCTTCTTGAACACCTATAAGTCTTATGCTGCATTTCCTAATTGAGTCAGATACTTCTTCAAGACTTTCTTCATTTCTTTTTAGTCTTAGTTCTCTCTCCTCCTCTATCTGAATCATTTCAACATATCTCTCTTTGATTATGCTGATACGTTCCTCTATGCCGTTCGCTCAAGTGTTCAGGTAATCCATATTTTGTTCTATTTCTTCCATTGTATCTTTTATCTCTAATATTTCTGATTGATTCTTCTTTATAGTTTCAATCTCTTTTGTGAAGTAGCTCCTGAGCTCTTGAATTGTTTCTCTACATTCTCTTTTACCTCGTTGAGTTTTTTTTTTTTTTTTTTTTTTTGAGGAAGATTAGCCATGAGCTAACTACTGCCGGTCCTCCTCTTTTTGCTGAGGAAGCCTGGCCCTGAGCTAACATCCGTGCCCATCTTCCTGTACTTTATATGTGGGACGCCTGCCACAGCATGGCATGCCAAGCAGTGCCATGTCCGCACCCGTGATCCAAACCAGCTAACCCCGGGCTGCCGAGAAGCGGAATGTGCACATTTAACCACTGTGCCACTGGGCCGGCCCCTCGTTGAGATTTTTGATGATAGCTGTTTTGAATTCTTTGTCACTTAGATTACATATTTCCACGTCCTCAGGACTAATTTCTGGGTACTTGTCATTTTCTCTCTGGTCTAGAGATCTAATATAGTGTTTGATTTTGCTAGAGGTTCTGTTTTTTTCACATCCTGGCATTATTAGATCGCAGTTACCACCTATCGCCACTGGGTGGGAGTCAAGAGCCCTGTATGCTGAGCCCTCTGCCTTCTGCCAAAATCCTCAGGCTGGAGCCTCCCTGAGTGGGTAGGGCGAGGGGCGCTTTCTCCTGTGTGCTTTTGGGGGTTTTCTCCCTCTGCTCTCCTGGGGTGTTGGCTTGAGGAGGTCACGCCACCACCCCCCTCCCAGCTCCCACGAAAGCTTTGCCATGGTAGACGGCTTCCATCTAGGTTGCAAGGGCCCTTGGGAGTCCTTGATGTTCCTACGAATGAACATTCCCTCCCCGGTTCCTTCCCTCTAGGAGGCCTCCCCAGCAGATTGCAGTCTTTAGGGGAGGAAGCAAAAATTTCTCTTCCCTTGTTCCACCTCCAAGGGGGGCCCCAGCCTCTCCGCCCTCTGTCGTATCACTGTGTGGATCTATCCCCCGTTTTTTGTGTTGAGTTTGGATGTCCTCTGTTGGAGTGTGGATGTTTTTTCCGTTGTATATTGGAGAGGGAAGATTGCTGTGAGACCTCTCTCCACCATGATGCTGACGTCACTCTTAAGTTTTCTTTTTAATAATGAGTATCTTAAGTTCCTATTTGGTACAGTTATTTTTAAGAATATTTTATTGAATTGGAAGATAGACATATAGCAAAATAAATACATTTTATCTTTTGTCTTTTCTCTAATGTAACATTCAATTGAATTAAAATTTAAAACTTTATTTAATGAATTTAAAACATATTCTGATGATAGTGTAACTTAATAATTTTAATAGTCATAATGGTTTCTGAAAAAGTAAAAGATATGGTAAAGTTCTTGATTTTGAATCTAATGCCCTTCAGTTATTCTGGTTTCATAGTGCGCATGTTGCAATTCTGGGACCATTGGTATTTAGTGCTGAAGTCCTTTTTTAGGTTTCTGTTTACTTTGAACTCTTTGGAAACAAAAGATCTTCTCAATTCAAGTGGTAATAGCATTTTAACTTTTCTTTTTAGGGGTATAAAGGAATCACCTGCTTCTTAGTAGATCGTGGTACTGAAGGGCTTCATATAGGGAAACCAGAAAACAAATTGGGACTCAGAGCTTCTTGCACCTGTCCATTAACATTTGACAATGTCAAGGTGGGTATCTTAGAATTTCTAGTAAAAGACCAATGTGAAATAAGCTTTGCATGGAACTTTAGATATGTAAAAAAGCTGTCAAAATATTAGGCATGCAGAGGAGAGTGTTTTATAAGACTCTTGAACAGTACTCTTAGGTTAGGTAATGACTACATGTACTTTTCACAAGAGTTTGGGCCAAGAGTGGAGACCTTTCTGCCCAGCAGCTGGCCTCAAGAGCCAATGCTGAGAATTAATTCCATTTATACTTACTAAACTTGATACTTGTGCACCAAAGATAGCTTCAGAAAAGGAACTGTGGTGTCTACACCAAAGGCCACAAGATGGGGATATTGCTCAGTAAGAGTAGAAAACAACCAGGCAGCGCCCCACAGTTGAGAGTTGTGTCTGTTAAAAATGAGGAAGAGAAGATTGCTGAATGTTTATGCTTTAGAAGTTGACAGAGAGAGGACAGGTGATGATGGGGCTTCTCCCTCTCATGGTAGAACCTGACCTTTTTACTCGTGGAGGGTCTTCATAGATGTCACTTGAGCCTCATACTTCACCCTCATATTATAGAGCCAAGTATATATTTTTTTATTGTTACTAGTCTAGACTTTAAAATTATGAATAAACATTTCAATCTGTTTCTTCTCTCCTTTCTCCTCCTCACTCTTGTGAACACGTGCATGTGTACACACGCATACGGCCGCCCCCAAAGTTGATTTTTATGGGAATAATAGTCTCAACAGAAGAAAGGTTTACTACTCTTACTTTAGCAAGTACTTAGACATTTCTGTCATTGCTAATATGTTCTCATCCGATAGCACACAGATAAGAATTGGGAAAAAATTGTTACTCGTTTATGTTATTGATGAATTATATGAGATTCCCTTTTTCTAGATTCATTCACTCATTCAGCAAACGTCTGTGCTAGGTTCTGGAAAATGCAATGGTGAGCAGCATGGACTTGAGGCCTCTCTCTCTGAGAGCTGTGTGGGAAGCAGCTTAGAGGGAAACAGAGATATAGCCAATAATTTCCTTGGAGTTTAATAAATACTGTGCTACAGTAATAAATCACACAAATTGGGTGTATATGTGCATTTAAAAATATATAATCAGAATGAATTGTGTCAAACTAAATTGAGAAATGAATGCTCACTTTTCTTTTCAGGTTCCAGAAGCCAATGTCCTGGGACAAATTGGACATGGTTACAAGTATGCCATAGGGATGCTTAATAAAGGTAGAGTAGGAATTGCTGCACAGGTTAGTCAAATTTTAGTAATTTAACTTGACTCTTCCACAGTGTGGATCAATTAAAATGTAGAAAGAAAAAAAATGCCATAAAACCAATGCGTATTTGGAAGCTTGTAACCACAAGATGGCGCCCTTCCCTTCCCTGAGAGGAAAGAATGGCTTCTGACTGTGATTTCTTTAAAATTTCACTTTGGTCAATTATATAATGTCCTGAGAATCAAACAATGGCTTAGTGGTAACAGTTTTTCTCCTTTGAGAATAGTAACGTGTTATCCAGTACCTGGATCAATAACTTCTAAAATCTATTGTAAATTAAATATGGCATTTTTTAAAAAATCAACTTTTCAAAGCATGAAATTCATTCTGGGAGAAATTTTTTAAATTGAGAATAAATAATATTCTACTGTGTAGGAAAAGTCTCTGATCTATAGATAATGAAAGATTTATTGCCTAGTGTTTTGCAGATGAAAATCAGGCAATTTTGTGGGTGTGTGGCATTTGAAATAAATTAGCCACAACTAAATAGATATGTAACATGAGAACTATTCAGTTTTTTGCCAAATTTGCCCTTTATGATGCATATTATATTTTTCTATTAACTGATAATCAGTTATTTTCTAGATTAACAAAAAAGTAAAGTATTTGGTTTTATTATAATTGTGTATAAATTATTATAATTGTGTATTATAAATTTTTATAGAATGTGTTTATTTATTTTTAATCAGAGAGCATCCCAAATCCAAAAACTTACGGCTTTTAGATTTTGAAGGTGTTATGTATATGTTAGCTATTGGAGTAGTCAAATGTTGTAGTATTCCTTTAGAATGTTTTACACTGCTGTTAATTTGCTAACAAAATATTGTTAGATAAAAACTTAACCCATGTTTCCCACAAAGCTGGATAATATGTTACTAACGAGAACTGGCTTGTCTGTTCTTTTTAAAGTTTTTCTGTGATGCAGCTTCATCAGAAAGGGCCTTAAAAACTACACTACCAAATCTCCTTGTTCCCAGACATATAAATAATATGCATGTTCTGGCGGTCACATACACAACCTGGGCTTTAGTCTAATTACTCCGAGTTATCTTACAACCTAATTAAAAGCTAAGGTCAGGTAGTTATTATTTCTCGGTTAATCCTGTGGCTACCTTTTAGAGAAAGAGGTACATATAACAAAGAACCAAAGACATCCATCCTTAAAACTCGGCAGTTGAGGAGAGTTTAGTTTTTCAGTATTTGTAGTGAAAACATTTTACAGAGATAGAAAAGCCTATTTTGACTGACAACTGATCATTTCAAATTTTATAGGATATTCTCAACATACTGTAAACTTTAGTTATAAGGGTGTAATGACATCATTTTATCTCATGGCCAAAAGTGCAGTGAGTTGCCGCCTCACTTTAATTTGTTTTGGTTTGGGTTTTCTTTGTCCTTTAATTTTTAGCATAATATTCTATTCTCCAGAAAGTTCAAAATAAAAGGCTAAAGGAAAATGTGAATCAACACAAACGAAATATTGATAAGTTTGTGGGCATTTCCCCCCAAAGCTTTAACTATAGGGTTTTTTTTCCTTTTTCTAAAACCTACATAGTTTGACATAATTAGATAATGATTTAATGGCTACCTAATGTTGAAATTTAGAGACCATTTTTAAGGTTAAATCATTCAATAGATATGGAGCTTGGTTAACAATGAAACAGTTCAGCTAAAATTGTCACCATGTCCTGATTTGTTCTTCAAGTGTGTAAATTAATGTTTTCACCAGATGTTCTCAACTCTGGCTCTGCATTAAATCATCTAAGGAATTTTTAAAATGCTGATGTTCGGGCCATGCTCCCCCTCCCCGCCACACAGGTTTTCGATTCAGTTGGTATAGCCCTGCATTGGTATGTTTTTATCAGCTTCCCTCAAGTGGCTCTGATGCGCGGCCAGGGTTGAGAAGCACCGCTCCTTTATGTTCTAATGCCCTTCCGCCAAGGCTGTTATTAATCCTGATCATATACAAAATGGACAGGAAGATAAAAGGTCAAGAAGTGACCTTCCGCATCCGACTTCTAGAGGACTAGAGGGAGCTACTCTACAGTCTTTGAGGCCAGTTTTGAGCAAAATTTCTGTGGTTCACTTTATGCCTGGAGAAGCAGAGCTTAAGGGAGAAGTTTCCTGAAAAATAACCTGCTTGTGTGAACACAGCTATGCCGGGAGATTTACCTCTGGGCTGGAATTAAATATACTCATAGTCATGTGAAATCTTTCACTTTTTCTCCCAGTGACTGCCAGTTATGTTCTCCAAACACGAAGGGTGAAGGTCATTAACATACCCCTCACCACCTCAGTATCTCTACTTCTTCCCCCACCCCAACTATGCAGTCTGCCTATAAAAGGAATTGCTAACTTAAATGATTCAAAGCATAAACTTATAAAAAAAATAACAAATTCTGATCCTTTTTTTTTTTAACAGATGCTGGGACTGGCTCAAGGATGTTTTGACTACACTATTCCATATATTAAAGAAAGGGTACAATTTGGCACCAGATTATTTGACTTCCAGGTATAGAGTTATTAGCATGTTTCTACTCCGGTGGATTCCCCCATCTTCCTGTCAGTGAAGAGCTGTGCTACAAAGCCCTCGTGGGTTTTCAGTAGGAGAGGTGGGGGGGAAGGGTGTGTGCGTGTGAACGCCTGGACCTTCTCCAAGGGCAGATCAGTAGTCCTGGAGGCCCAGCTATGGCGTGGTTGGGGATATCGTGGCGAGCACTCTAGAGCTGTCTCCCCCTGCTCCATAGTTTCCAGGGTATGGGGTCTGCCGTCAGACTTTCTGGGTTCAAATCCTGGTTCTTGTTTTACTAGCTGTAGGCCTTTGAGAAGTCACCCCTCTAAGCCCAAACTGCCTCATCTGTAAAATAAAAATAGTACTAACCTACCCTCTAGGGTGATTTTGAATCAGGGAGTTATGTAAAGTGTTAACACATTGCCCAAGTCCAACAGGTGCTCAGTAAAGGTCACGCTTGTTAAGAATCAGGCCAGAGCCGTGTGGTACTCCTCAGAAGACCACACTTTGGCACATCCATCTTGTGGCCAGCACAACTTGCTGCACTTAGTGCAAATGAGGTGCTCGCAGTCAGGCATGTTGGGAAATACTGGCCTGGTCCAATGACATGGCTTCTCGGCTCCCGAGGCAATCGGGGGATTTGTTGGTGGCAGTATGCGTTCTTCCTGTCCACCTTGAGGTCTTGCCAGGTTAGGGGAAGCCTGGAGTGGCAGCTTACCAAGCTTATTTGACCACATTACCTAAAAATCCAGAAGAATTACTTTACGTGTTTGCAAAACCTCCCTTTAAGCAGCTCTTGGCACCAAGTGCAACTTCTTATTACATTACAGCTCTGTTGCACTGCATTGTCTTCAGGTTCTGTCACAGCGTCACACAAGCACTCACCAATGGCACGTGTGTAGAAATTCTAGGCTGTGGGTGTGCACGGTCAGTTCAAGGCCTAGAAAGACTGAGCATGGCAGGCCTGGCCAGGGCCCCCCACAGCCCATACTATCATTGGCATCATATACGTGAGAAACTGAGGCACATGGAAAGCAAGTTCCCAAGATCATACAGCTAAAGCTAGTAAGGTGTCAAAATTACAGGGTTTTTTTGTCTTGGTTTCTGGTCTAATTTTCATGTTATACCAGAGTACTTTCTCAGAGCCAGCCACCACATAAATTGCAACAAAGGGGACAGAATGTGAAGACAGTTTTGAGGAAGGCTTGGATCTTTGTACACAGGACACAGTGTTTCCATGTACATGGGGTTGGAGAGGGAGGGAGGAGGGGTCGGGTGTACTAATATGTATAATCATGATATATTTCTAAAGATGCCTAGTATGGATAATTAAAACTTTTAGAAATTTGATCTTAAAAAGCAACATTATTAATTTTATATATCTATGTGAAGCTTTGATTAAAAGTTAGTAGTTTTTTTCCCAACTGCTGTAATCTCACTAGAGTGATTTGATTTTTGCTTTGCCTGCCATCATTCATGTCTCTCTCTCCTCTAGACTGTAGGCTCCTTGAAGGTAGGGACCAGGCCTCTTCATCCTTATTTCTTTTGGTTGTTTATCCGGCACAGATTTATTGAGCATGTTCTCGGCGCCAGGCCCCATGTTCACAGTGTAGTTAGGTACCAGTATTCATGGTGGTGTGTTCTTGTAGGGCAACAGACATGCCAAAGTTGCTTTCCTGCCTCTCATGGTGCCTAATATGGTCACTAAAGTAGACAACATTGATGGTGACCGTCAGTTTAATAGAACGAATGTACTTTTCAAAAATAATTAGCATCTCTCCATTGCACTTAACAAGCCATAAGCAATTTCTAGAATGGTGATATTGGCATAGAAGTAGACAAATTGACTAATGGCATGAAACACAAAGTTCAGAAATAGACCCCTGCGTGTCTGGAAACTCCATGATAGAAATGGCGTGGCATATCACTGAGTGGGAATATTCTTTCCCTGCAGAAAAAAAAGGAAGCTAGATCCCTACCTCACGCCATACACAGAAAATAGATTTCAGATATACTAAAGATGTAACATAAAAAGCAAAATTCTAAGTTTTAGGAGAAAACGTAGGAGAGTATCTTTATCACTTTATAGTAGGAAAATAATTTTGAAAACAAGACACAAAAAGGACTAATTATAAAAGATATTAAGAATGGTGAATTTGGCTACCAAATTTTTTTTCCTCAAAGGATTCCACAAAGTAAAAAGACAAATCATAAGGAAGACGATATTTGCTCTACACATAGGTTAGTGGGTGTTCAGTTTTTTATTATGCTGCACAACCTATATACATGTAATGTAGTCCTTTTTTTTGCATATTAAATATTGTAGAAGGAGGAGGAGAATCTTATCAGGTATTTGCGAGCAGTATTGTTTTTCTCTAGATCATCCCTCCTTTTTGTTTAGGAAAGGCCATCCCTGGGATTGTTGAGTAATTGCCTTAGGATTCCCTGACTTAGCATTCATCACACAATGTCATAATTATTTAACCATCTGTTCTCCCTGCTGGGCTATATAAGTCATAAGCACAAGGAACTCTGAGTGTGACGGTCAGTGTGATGTCTCTGTTGCTCAGCACACTGCCTGGCATATCGTAGGTGCTCAGTGAATATCTGGGCAGACGGGTATGTTAGACATGAGAAACTTTTGAGTTTTTAATAAGTATATCTATGACCATATTTGCAGGAAATTGTTTATAAGTAGAAACTATTAGTATTCATATTCTCACTCACTCATGTACTCATTTCTTTCTTTGACTAACATTTACTGTGTGCCTAATCACCCTCTAAAGTTTGAGTCGTGGTGATTTCTTTAGGATGTTTCTTTTTCAAGTTATTCTTCTGTTTTCTATAGCCCTAGAGAAACTGGTACCTGTTCGTGGGTACCGCAGTGGAGTCAATTCAGTAGTTACTTAGAGGAAATTGGTGCTTCAAATATTCCTTCGTTACTTTGCAGCTAACATCTTTTAATGCCCTGAGGCTATATGCAGAATCAAAATTTTATTACTTCAAGCAAATAAAAAAAATTCAAATTTTTGCTTTGCTGGGATTTAGTTTAAGCTGAATTTTGATCATAAAAAGGATTGAAAATAATTATTAACTATAACAGTCAAATTTTTAAACCTAATTCTGTGATAATTTATTTTTTAAATCTTGACAATTATAAAGAATTACATGATCTTTGAAATTTTTCTAAGAAAGAATATATGTAGTGTCATGTTCATTTTAAATTACAGATTTTAAACAATTTTTATAGAGTGAATGTGAATTGCCTCTGGGGTATATTTTGAGTCGGTTAGTATTCCATATCCAGGCTGGACTTTGAGGATAAGCTGTGTTTTTGGAGATCGCAATTCTCTAACTTGGGCCTGAATGTTAACAGGGGCTTCAACACCAAGTGGCTCACGTGGCCACTCAGCTGGAAGCTGCAAGATTACTAACATACAACGCAGCCAGGCTTGCGGAAGCTGGAAGGCCGTTCATAAAAGAAGCATCTATGGCCAAATACTATGCATCAGAGGTAAAAAAAAAAAAAGTAATTCAACCTTCATTTTTTCCAGATAGATATTTATTAACCTTTGCCCTTTGGAATATTGTTTGATCATTTGTTTTTCAAGTAAAATAACAGAGTTTCCAGTTCCTAGAACAGAAAAGCAAAACTGTAAAGCTTCCATAGTAAAGCGCTTTAATTCTGTGAGATCTCAGTGTTTTCACAGGATCTTGACTAGAAACTGTGCCACCCAGTTCGGGTAGAACACCCATCATAAACCATAATATAATCATAAATAAATAAATGGATGAGCCTCATCTCGTACTTGCAGGTTGGGGCAAAGTGAATGCCATGGGAAATGACGTGAAATAAAAACACCAAGAAGAGATAGTCCATGCTTTTAATGCTTTCTGTTCATATATACGTACTTTATATTTAACATCTTAGACTTTGGCTGGAGAATTTAGCCAAATCACTGGGCTGCTATTTGCCAGCCTCGGGGGTATGCCTTATTCATTCCATGACCCAAATATTCATTTATCCTTTTGAGCCCTAACATTCAGTATTCTGACTCACCCTCCCTTCTGAGCTCCAGGCTATTAGATCCAGTTTCCATTCACCTCCCTACCCCATTGCTCCAGTCAGAAACCTGAGCGTCATCTTGACACCCTCCTTTCCCTCATCCCCCACATTGAATCCGTCATCAGTTCCTGAGGATTCTACCTCCTAAATATTTCTTGAATGTATATGTTTCTCTCCCTTTTCGCTGCCACCTGTCTGGTCCAAGCTGCATCACCTCTTGACCACACTACTGCAGTCGCTCTCTGCCTGCTCCAGAGGCCCCTTGGCTTCCTCCAGTCCGGTCTCCTTTTTCAAAGTGTCCATGAGGCCATGTCGCTCTCCAACTGTAAACCTTTCAGTGGCTTCTCAAAACAAATGGAACAATATTTGTATTTGTTTCCTATTGCTGCTTTTAACAAATTACCAAAAATTTAGTGGCCTAAACATATAGTTTTGCTGTCTCACAGTTCTGGAGGTCAGTGGCCTGAGATGAGTATACTGGTAGAAAATCAAGGTGTTAGCAGAGCTGCCTTCCTGGAGGCTCCAGTGGAGAAGCCATTTCCGTGCTGTTTCCAGCTTCTAGAGGCTACTTGCATTCATTGGCTTGTAGCCCCTTCCTCCATCTTTGGAACCAACAGTATAGCATGTTCAAATCTCTGACTCTTGCCCTCTGACCTCCCTCAGTCCCTTCTAAGGATCCTTGTGATTACATTGGGCCCACCCAGAGAACCCAGGATAACGCCCCCATCTCAGAGTCCTTAACTGTTGCCATGTGAGGTAACAAACATAGTTACAGTTTCTGGGGATTAGCGTGTGGACATCTTTGGGGAGCCATTACAATATTCAAACTGCTCGCCATCGTGTGAGGTCCACCTGCCTCTCCTTCTCTCTTCACAGCTTGCCCTGATCCCAGCCCACTGGCCATCTCTTGGGTCCTTGAGGCTAATAAACCCATTTTTTTCCTTGGAGCGTTTCCACGTGTTCCTCAACTTGAAATGTCCCCTAACTGTCCTTTAGGTCTCAGCTAAGCTGTCATATGCTCACAGCATCCCCCCAACTAAATCCTGTTAACTTTCTCAGCAAGTCATCTTTTGCCTCATACACTTTATCAGTTTCTATAATTGTTGCTTAAATGTGTGTCTCTCCAAATGACCACAAGGGCCGTGACTGGCCAGCCTCCACCCTTGTGTTCCCAGTGGCTGGCAGAGCACACCATGTAAAGAAGGCCTTTGATAAGCATTTGCTGAATAAACGATACCTGTCAGCAAGTGTATGTCTGAACAGTACCCTAATTTTCTTTAGAAAATAGGAATTTTGTGACTTAATAGGATATTTTACACAAATAGTAAAGAATGGGCCCAAAGAGACAATGCTAGTTTATAAAATAACTTTAATCCTTCCATTTGCCAATAATGATGAATCCGGGGTGACTGAAAGCCTTCCACAGGAGTGTTTGTCATGATGCGTAAGGTACGTGGTTTCCGCGTGTGATTCGCTGCTTGGTCTCGGTAGATCGCGGGACGAACAACTAGTAAATGTATCGACTGGATGGGAGGAGCGGGCTACGTCAAAGCTTACCCTGTGGAAAAGTACTTCCGAGATGCCAAGATTGGTAAATAGATGATTTACATTTTATTTTGTTTTCTTTTATTTGCCTCTCTAGGTATGTGGGCTGTTGTCTTTGTTTGATTTTATATTACTGGTGGCTTGGCAAAAGCAATTTTATGATGTGTATCAGCCCTCTTCTTTACTGTGGCTTCCCACCTCTTCCTTCAAAAAAAATGGATTTATATTTTTTAAAACATTAAGTTGCGTTTTTAAATGCCTCAACAAGCCGTTTAGTAAAACCACAACAGAATCTACTGTCTTAATTTTTCTTTTACTAAAAGTGCTAATATTTTGATTACTTTAATGCCGTCTTTGAAGCTTAAGTTGTAATCTGAGCAGCTAAGTGCCTCCTGACGCCTGAGCGTCCGATGCTGCTCTGCAGCCCGGAGGACGGAAACGCAGCACGACTGCGGGTCCCTGTTCCTGAGGAGCCAGCCGAGCTTGCGCGTGGATAGTTTAGGAATGGAAAACTTCAGCTGTTTAATCCTGGTTCTGGAATGAGAATCCAGTTTCCGACTGGAAAATTATCTGTGAGGCAAGATCACTGTCAAATAATACCATACTCAGGCGACCCTGAATGATGTTGCTAGTAACAGTTTTGTAGCAAATGCAGACGTAGTGTTTGTAGAGCCGTTTCTTGTGTAGACACTTTACTGTGGGTCCGCTGCTTAGTGTTTCTTTTGCTCCCTTTTGTTTAAGGTACAATATATGAAGGAACTTCAAATATTCAGCTGAACACCATTGCCAAGCACATCGATGCAGAATACTGACATCCACAGCAGTGGGGCCCCTCCCTGATGTCGCTGGTGTAAAATCTTAAACTGTTGTGCTTTTGGGGGATCTGAGCCCTTAGTCTCGGATCGTGGGGTAGACCTTTCTGTTTTACTTTCCAGTCTGCTTAACTTAGGTACAGGAAATCATTTTTAAAATTTGGGAAGAAATGCCCCCATATTTTCTACAAAACTATTTTTAAAGTTCTGTAAGTGTTGTCATTCTAGCTTTAGGGTATACAGAAGTTTCACTCTATCAGCATTTGGAACAATACAGACATTTGAACTATTACTTACAGATATGGCTATTTGATATTCCTATTAAATCTGTATTTTGTGGCATCAGTCAGAAATCTCTGTTATAGTTGGCAATTTTATAGAGTAGATAGATAGATTCTAAGTAGCTAAACTAGGTAGAAACTGATAAAAATTTATTTAGAAAAATCTTAAAGTTCTGGTTCTAAATACCTGAGAATAGGTGAAAAATAGGATATAACTCTGTAGGTCAAATAATTGAATAAAACCTTATTTTAACAAAGGAAAGCGTGTAATTTGTGTGTCTTGAGTTTGTGTTTCATGGAGGACGATCTTGTTCACCTCCTAAAACCTGCCATTATTGTTATTTGGGGCTGGGCTGTCATGGGGCTCAGAAGGTAGAGACTTGAATACAAGCACCAGGGAACCACTCAACCATATTTGATGGGCAGAGCTGGATTCAACCCAACTGCCAAGTTAGTATTGTTAGAGATTTCATTTTACAGCCCAAAACGAATCAGTGTTAAAGATTTTAGAATTATGGAAAGTTAAACCTAGAAAGACCTTAGAGGACCATCCAGCTAACTCTCATTTTAAAAGTGAAGGATTCATAGCCCAGAATACTTGCCCAAGGTCAACAGCCAGGGGCAGACCAGACAAGGATCCAAATGTAGTGGCTCCCAATTCAGTGCTCTTCCTACTATTGAACATTGGCTCTGTTCAACAAATTTTGGATTTTATGCTTGTTATATTTTAATACTCTTATTGATTTATTTTAGATTTAACTGATAAAGAATTAACATTTCAGAAATGTTAAGATTGATCAATATCATTATTTAGACATATTAATCACCTGCCAAAGAATTAGCTCTCCCAGGGTGGGGCTCATGTGTCAAATGTGAAGGTTATTATGTGCAATCATTAGGTTTTGTGGTTGTGATGTGATTTGTAAATGCATTAGTTATATCCTTGCTGATGTACTTTCGCTGGTCTTCATAAAGTGCCAGTTTTGTTGTAATGGTACATATCAGACTGTGTTCAGTGTTAGAAAATCAGTATTCTGTGAAGAATGAAAAAATAAAGGACAAACTTACCTGGAGACTTTCACGACTCTGATATAGCAGAATTGTTTGTTACACGTACAGATGAAGCAAGAAAATAGTGTAATCTTCCTGCAAGATAGATTTAACACTTGCTGATCATGCTGATAGCTTGTCTCTCATGTAAGCCAATTTTGTTTGTTTTCAGAGAAGAGGTCTTATCATGTAGACCAAGTTTAAATTCTCGATGCTAAAGAAAGTTTCACCAGAGGACCCTTTTTTTTTCAAAGCAAAATAAGCAGCTCCTCAGGAGAGGCCACCTCTTGTGAGTGCCTCCTCACAGTGCAGACCTTCTCTGGTGACCTGCATGCCTGTGCTTTCTGGTATAGCTTTTGGGAAGCTTATATTATTGCACCTTTTGCTCAGTGATACTCTGCGGTCTGACATCATAGGAGATTTCAGCCTATCTGTTCCCTGCTATGTCCTACATTATTTGAGAAATCTGGATATCAGTCCCCTTTTTCTTTTGTTATTCAGTGACAAGTGCGTCACTGGGCCCAAAGGTCCAAGGTGCTGTGGGCCCCACGCTGCCCTGCAAAAGTGAGAAAGACCAGATCCTTATTGAAATGTGTGATTATCTCAGGTGTCTTTTTTCTGTTCTCGTTAGTGCATCCTCGCACAAAGACTGAGTGAAAAACTACCAAGGCCGACCCTATGCAAGTGTTTCTTTAGATCCGTTAGAATGATAACCTAAGTGCTAACGTCTCTTGAGCTCTCATCATGTGCCAGCCATTATTCTAGCCTCTTGACACATAATCCCTCACAGCAGCCCCATGTGGTAGGTAGTCTTGTTAGCCCATTTTACAGGCAAGGAGACAGGGGCATGGAGAGGTTAAATAAGATGCTTAATTGGTACATGACAGAAGTGAGTCAAACTGGCCCTCCCCGATTCATTCCTTTGAGTCTTTAGGTTTGTTAATCTGCAGAAGCCTTCCAGGAAAATGGCACTACCAGCTAGCCCTTTATTAGCTAATAATTCTTCAGGGATGTATTTTAGATCTTATTGAGCAGAGAAGCTAGCTGAGAACGTGGCCTGCAAGACGGACACATAGGTGTGGTGGGAGCGTGCATGTTCTGGGAGAAAGCAGAGGGCGCAGGAGGACGCATACTAGAAGGGTGCAGATAGTGGGGAGAAAGGTACCGGCAAGGGGAACTAAGGAAACAAAAAATGTCCTCTGGTTCAGAGTTAGCAGAAAGCTACCCCGAGGCAGGAAGAATGACAGCATAATAAAAACCTAAGCAGGTGGCTACAGGGTGTTTGATTTGCTGTTTGTACGGATAGCTCAGAAGATAAAGGAAAAACCCTAACTTTACAAGAGCTTAAATAGAAAACAAAATGAGGTAGGAATATGGCCAAACATAGCAGCACTTATAGGTATAAATGGGTTAAACTCACCTATTACAAATAACAGATGCTAAGATGGAAAGAAAGGAAAATAAATCCCAGCCACATAAAGTTAGAAACACTTAAAAACACAGCACAGGAAATTCGAAATAAAGAGATGGGAGACGACCATACAGACGCTCCAAAAAGGAAAGCGGGAATAGCAATGTTAATATCAAAACTGAATTAAAGGCAAAAATAATTTCAAAGGATAAAAATGGATATCTCATAATAAACCAGGAAGCGTTCACCAAGAAGGTCCAATCATCAGAACTTTATGTGCCTAAGGACATAACTAGGAACTAGACAGAGCAAAACCAATAGAGAGGCAACGGAAACACCGACAAAGCCATAATCGTAGGCACGGATTGAGAATCAACAAGTCAAGTAGGAAAAGGTAAGAACGGATAGGATTTGGATAGCCTAATTAACAAGTTTGATACAGGAAGAACTTTTTGTGTCTTTTCAAATGCAAATGAATGGTCATTAGAATTTTGCCACAAAAGAAATATTTACACATTCCAAAAGAAAATTTTACAGGCGACCTTCACTATACGCAATGGTAAGTAAACAAACAACGAAAAAATAGGATATAAGAAAGCTAACCATAACTTTAAATAACTTTGGTTATTCAGAAAATAAAAGTATAAATTACAAATTGTCAACAAGGTCATGGGGAGCTGGGCTGTGTGGGTCCGTGCTTCTGGGAGGATGGACAGAAGGCATGTCCCAGACTTCCAGGGCACGTGGTGTGTAGTAGTGAAAAATTAGAAATGGCTACGTAGGAGAGTAAATAAACCATAGAAATACACACGACACAAGCCTGTGCAGCAGTTTATAGAATAAGGTAGATCCACTTACTGAGATTAAGTCATCACCAAGCCACATTGTTTCAAAAAATTACAAATTGCATACTCTTTATACAGAACAGTACAAACCTATTTATTTCCGTAAGTACAAGCATGTATATAAATTCTTAGAAAAAACTCAGAAAGTATGGTCACCACACTGATGCATTGGGGGCCTGCGCTGGGACTGGGGGTCAAGAAAGCAGCTGTGGGGGTCATTGGCGTCATCTATGTTTGAATTTTTACAACTAGATATAATAGTACTTGTGTAATTGTAATTAAATAAATATGATATTCCTTGTGTGATTGAAAATAAGTAAAATTAAAGCTACCTATAGGGTTATTGAAATTTTTCACTTTTTCACATTATTTTCCCTTTAACTCATTTTTCTGCTTTTCTCAAATAGCCCCAGCCAAGTAGGCAGCTCCATTCAGCCACACAGGAGACTAGACTCTGACACAGAGAGGCCCAAAAAGGGATCTGAAACCTAACGCCTTGACTGTCTGAGCTCCGTGGCTGAATAGCACTGACCGGGTTAGACCCTCGTCCACAAGGCGGTGGATGTCTCGCCCGTCCAAGCAGGAATTCACTGGGAGGGCTTCTCACATTCAGGTACCAACTGGGCCATCTGCACTGGCCTTGGGGTTAACATCCTGTCTTTAGTTGTAATTTGATTTTATGTGATTTGACCTGAGGTATTCAAACATAATATTTCCTTGGACATGAAACATTTGTTTCAAGGTAAAAAGACAATTCAAAACTTCTACTCAGGTTGAAGGACCCAGGTCCATAGTTTAAATTTGATGAGCAAACCATGGCCTGTGGGCCAGATCCAACCCCCTGCTTGGTTTTGTTAGGACCTACAGACTAAATTCTTTTTTTTTTTTTTTAACATTTTAAATAGATCTAAATATGTACATAACATCCTCAATTTTACCTCTTGTCCACAAAGCCCAAAATATTTACTATCTGGCCCTTTAGGAAAAAATTTGCTAAACTCAAATTATTGCCTGTTAAATCAGATTTTATGGAGAAGAGCAGTCAGTGAGTCTGAGTGTCACACCAAAAAAAAAAAAAAAAGGGTGAAGACCTCCTCTAAGAGCTTGTCATCGAGCCCGCCCTGATGGCCTAGTGGTTAAAGTTCGATGTGCTCCACTTCAGCAGCCTGGGTCCCATTCCCACACACAGAACCACACCACCTGTCGGTCAGTAGCCATGCTGTGGTGGTGGCTCACATAGAAGAACTAGAAGGACTTACAACTAGGATATACAACTACGTACTGGGGCTTTGGGGAGGAAAAAAAAAGAACTTTGTCGTTATTCTCTCAATTTCATTTGTAGCCTTAGCCCAGTTGGCTCCGTCCTTCAATCTACGAAAGTGTTCAAGTCTCCCCATCCTTAAAAATGAAGCTTCCCATGGGGCCAGCCCAGTGGCGCAGCGGTTAAGTTCACACGTTCCACTTCTCGGTGGCCCGGGGTTCACCGGTTCAGATCCCGGGTGCGGACATGGCACCATTCGGCAAAAGCCATGCTGTGGTAGACGTCCCACATATAAAGTAGAGGAAGATGGGCACGGATGTTAGCTCAGGGCCAGGCTTCCTCAGCAAGAAAGAGGAGGACTGGCAGTAGTTAGCTCAGGGCTAATCTTCCTCAGAAAAACAAAAAAAAAAGAAAAAAAAGTTAAGCTTCCCGTGAGCCACTGCTGCTTAGCACTGAAAGGATGCACAGTGGTTGCCATCACTGCAGCAATCTCTCGTCCTCACAGCCTGCTCCTTTAATCTTTGCCTGGCGCCCACTTTTGTCAGTGGATTTAAACAATGTTCTCTCTTTGGGTGGTGAACATGATGTAATCTACACTGGAATCGAAATATAGTGATGTATACCTGAAACTCATGTAATGTTATAAACCAATTTTACCACAATAAAAAAGTCAGTTCCAAGTGTCAACAATATGACTGAAAAAACAAAACAAAACAGTGTTCTCAAAAGTTGTCTTTTTACCCTTAATTGGTGGCCTCTTAGTCAGTTCCAAACTCTCTAGTTTCGGATTCCCCTCTTCTACCTAAGGTTCTCTGCTTCTTTTGCTTTTTGACAAAACAACTCCTCCTTTTGGCTGACCCTTCTGGTTTCTTTTCCCTTAAATGGAAATTCTACCATTTATCAAAAGTCTGCCATCGTACCTCTTCTCTTCTCGATAGCCGTGTCTTCACTGTGCTTTAGGGTAACTTGAAGAGTCTTAAAAGTGCGGGCTGTGAAATACCATTCCCAGAATTTCCTCGTCATTAGGGATGATTCTTGTCAGATCTGCCCCGGCAGGGTGTCCTGCAGGCTCTTGGAAATTTATGTCTAAAAGCAAGAGAAGGATTAGGGTGGGAGATAGAGATCTGGGAGTCGTATGTAATTACTAATGGCGTAAAGACAGATGAAATCCTCAGAAGAGTGGAACAGCCGTCTCCTGGGCCTTTTGCCCCCAGATCGCCTGAGGTCCTTGTAAAAAGGCAGATTTCCTGACCCAGTCAGATCACTGGACCTGGGGCCTGGAATCTGCCGGTTTCAGAATCCCCCAGGGGATTTTCGTCACACACTAAAACTTGAGTGTTCAAATGGTTCCAGCGCCAAAGTCCATGTTCCTGTTCAACTTCCCCAGCACCCCAATATAGCAGCACCAACCAAGTAAACCCCAGAACTCCCTAGACACCCACCTGCTTAAGGGGCAGAGAAGCAGAAGGTGGAGCGGGCAGGCACCTTCCGCTCATCCTACTGAGT